TTTTTTTTTTTTTTTTTTTTTTTTTTTTTTTTTTTTTTTTTTTTTTTTTTTTTTTTTTTTATCCTTTTTACTTATTTGTAATGAACATTTTAATGAGTCACTAATAAACTGAAACTGCGAGGTTCATCAAAATCTTTTCCCGAGAATGTAAGGCTGCTATTATCGTGATAATATTGTGTACAAATTTGAAAAACAATCGAGTTAAAAATCGTAAGCAAAAATCCAGATCTTTAATAAAAGTGAAGACAAAATAAATTTAATTATTTGGAAAAAAAAACAAAAAAAAAACAGGCAGACAAGGAAAAGAAGAAGAAGCCCAAGAAGAAGGAGGATGGCGGTAGCAGCAAAGGCACCTCCGAGGGAGCCTCGGGCGCGGGCCCTACCCCCGAAGCCGAGCCGACTCCCGAGAAGCAGGCGACTCCACCCAAGTCCGAGACCCCGAAGTCGCCCTCGGGCTCGTCCAGAGCCAGCCGTGGCAGCCGCAAGGCCAAGCGCACTGGCTCCAGCGTCTTCTCCATGTTCACGCAGAAACAGGTCGCCGAGTTCAAGGAGGTCAGCCATTCACGCAAAAACGGCTTTAGTTATTTTTTTTTTTTTTCGTGCCATTTCACGCGTGACAAAATCCACCACACGCCTCTCGCTTTTCAGGCCTTCCAACTGATGGACCACGACAAGGACGGCATCCTCGGCAAGGAGGACCTGCGGTTCATCTTCGACCAGGTCGGCCGTCTCGTCAACGACAAGGAGCTCGACGACATGCTCAGCGAAGCGCCCGGACCCATCAACTTCACCCAGCTGCTCCAGTTGTTTGCCTCGCGCATGCAGGGAGGAGGTCGGTTGTTTTTAGCAACTAAAACCATTTTTTTCCCTTCCCACATTTTCTGAACAAATATGGTTGGATTTTGGGTTCAGGTGCTGACGACGACGAGGCCATCATCTCGAAGGCCTTCAACACCTTCGACGTTCACGGCCTCGGCAAGATCGATGGCGAGAGGTACGAGAGTGACCATTTTTTTTTCTCTCTCAACAAAATGAAGCACTAACCGGAAAATAATTTCAATTGTCAGATTGAGGCACTCGCTGATGACCTTCGGCGAGAAGTTCACCGCGAAGGAAGTCAACGACGCATACGACCACTTCTACATCGACGACAAGGGCCAGATCGATATCGAGTCGCTCGTCAACATGTTGACCGGCAAGGGCGACGACGACGACGACTAAATTATCGTCGTTTCTCTTCGCGTCTCTCTCTCTCTTTCTCTCTTTCTCCAAATATATTGGAAAAAAAAAAAATAATAACAACATTCAAAATCGTTTCAATAAATCCAGCTGACGCAAGAGCAGATGGTGATAGCCGCAGGCTGTGCGCCTTGCCTATCAACAGCTACAAGAGTCACGCGCACCATCGTCCCGTTGAAATAAACGGGATGGTTTTTCAAAAAAAAATTAAAGCATGAAAAATATGTTTATTTATAAAAGAAAGAAAAAAAAAAAAAAAAAAAAAATTAAAAAAAAAATTAAAAACAGAGGATGAATCATTTTTCGCTCGCAAGTCCAGCGCATTTTTGAGAAATCGATCGTTGAGCGGATTCTTGGCTTTTTTTTTCTTTTCTTTATTTGCAACAAACAACAACAACGAGTATATACACACATCGATGTATATGTTATTTATTTAATACGCAAACACAACAAATTTGACACTTGAACAACGTGAGCACGCATTATTTATTACTATTACTATTATTATTACCATTATTGCAATCTTCAATGTTATCATCATTATTATTTTTTCTGTCATCGTTATTATTTTCAGCACCATCATTATTTCCATCACGATTACCATCATAATCATTGTTTATATTATCACCATCGCTATTGTTATTATAGGTATTATCAACATTGTCATCATCATTAATATTCTTTTCGTCATCATAATTACCATTGTCATTATCATCATTATTATTATTATCATTATTATTTTCATTACCATCAATACCATCGCTATTATCGTTATATTTATCATTATTTATGCATATTATTCATCCAAAATAATTATTATTATTCTTATTATCTTTATTAGAATTATTATCATTACTATCATTAAAACTTATATTCTCATCGTTAACGTTCTCATTATAATCAGTGTTATCATCGTCATAATCATTTTCAGAACCATGATCAATTTTATTACCATGACTATAATTATCATCNAATTTTTTTTTTTTTTTTTTTTTTGGTTTTGTTTTCTAATCATCTCATTTTCGGATTTCTTCGCCGTGCGACGCAGTTCGGTTTTATTTCACATTTCTCTCCTCGTACACGTATTTCGCTCTTCGTCTCTGTCTTATTCAATTTCACTTTTTTCACTTTAGTTGGAGAAAAAATAACAGGCCTGCCAGTGAATTGAGATCTCCTTCCTCGACTCCAGAAATTATGATATTGTTGTTCATATAATAAAAAAATATTTTGAGAAAACTCAAGGATTGACGATCGTTTGATTTCGCAACCCTTTCTTTAACTTTTGTCTTGGGAAAAAAAAAACTAAGGGAGTCTTGGAGAATTTTTTTTTATTTCCAAGTTAGATGCGTATATTTTTACTTTTCACACGAAAATTTCCAATTGTAATTTTAGTCAACCGTTGGTTTGCATCAAACATCAATGAAGCATACACTTTTATAATTCATATACTTTAAAAGTTGGTTGATTTTTTGTTTCTCCGTTTTTTGAAGACACATAAAAATATTACGAAAACTATGGTGGAAACGTGATTCAACTATAATCGCAGTCGATGCGAAAAATACAGTTAATCTCTATTGATTTTAAAAAGTGTCATTCTTTTTGAAACATTAAATTAAATGTTCAAAAAATTTCAGATTTCGTCTCTATGAGTCATATAAAAGGTATTTTCTTTCTTGTACAATAAAACGATTCACCTCGGATTTCACTATAAGAGAAAAAATGATCTAAAACCAAGAACAACTTTATTAGAATACTTACCAAGTAAATGTTCTCTTGAAATAAGATCATCCTTTTTTTACATTGAAAATATCTTCTTATTTGATACAAATATTTTTCTAAGGTTAGAAAATATAATCTTATTTCTAGAAATTGTTTACTTGGAACTATTCTACTGAATATTTTCCAAGAAATGTTCTTCTATAGTCAGCACAGAATGCTTAAGAAGTCTTTGACGTGATGAAAGTTGAAAAAAACTTTCTATATTTATTATTAGTATTTTTAGGAGAAAATCTAGGTCTTTGCTTTGCTGTGCAGACAGTTACTGTAAGAATTATGATTTTTTTTTTTTTTGACGACCACTACTACACAGTATTCGTAAAATATGAATAAAAGCCATTTATAGAAAATTCGCAAGATGGAGGGGAACGGTATTTGTTGCTCTCAACTTTGAAATAATGAATAACGAGACTCATCAAACCAACATGAGTTTTTGTCAATGGCACGAATTTTTGAACATAGTTTTGAAAAAATCTCCTACAATCTAATTCTTGTATTTATTCACTGGGAGAAAAAAATAATAAAAATTGTAGTAAAATTCCAGCAAAAACTACCATTTTGCACTGTAAATCGGATGCAAGCTGGCAAACAAAGAAAAAATTATTATTTTCAACAGTAAAGATTATTGTTTGAATAGTAAAAATTATAATGAGAACAATAAAAACTTCTATGCGAAAAAGTAAAATTTATTAACCGATCTTTTTAAGGTTTACTGTTCCAGCATGGCAATTTTTATCATAATGTTCTATCGATAATTTTTACTATTCAAACTATAATCTGTACTGCTAAAACAATAATTTTTACTGTAGACAGTAATAATTTTTTTCTTTTTTTGCCCGCTTGCCTCCGATTTAATGAGCAGAATGGTAACTTCTGCTGGAATTTCTCTAAAATTTTTATTATTATTTTTTTCTCAGTCTTGTCTTCCCATTTTTGGTCAAGTATATGCATTCAGCTAAACAGTTCTTTAAATATGATTTAAGGTTTTCCAATTATTTTGATTGATGTAAAATTCAAATTTTTGCACCAAATTATTGAAACCGGAACAGTGAAACATCTAAAAAGTGATGTAGTCTACTTTTTTATCCAAAATAAACATTAATCAATCCATACACGCTTTTGTACAGCGAAGAAAGCGGGTATACATTTGATGGCGCGAAATATAAGTAAGTAAATGCCATCCAAAATTATCCAACTTTGTCGCGAGAGGCGGGGGATGAACGATCGAGAGAGCGCGAAACGAGGTCTTTCTCCGACTTTCTACATCTCATACCTCTGCATAGATATATAGTGTACACGCCTACTGCTGAGAAACGTCTCTTTTCGGGCCAGCTGCCAAATTTATGGGTACACATAAAAACAACATGTCTTTCGGCGAAGCGTTTTGATTACACGCCAATTTCATAATATTTGGAGATGAGGGTAGAGCACGGCTACGACGATGACGACACAAGTTTAATGATCTAGGCGTGTGCGGCTAATAGGTTTACATAAAATTGAGTAGCGCACCATTGCTGGTTGCTTACGGCGCTACGTGCAATTTATAGTGATGTAGAACCGATGGGGGCTCCCTTGGTTCGTACTAGAATTCGAGTGAAATTTATATACCGGATATGAAGGATACGAGGGGTATACAGTGTATAGCCGGGAATAAGTGTAAGCATTGTCGGATGCAAATGGACGTGTTCTATGTTACTTGTTTTTTCCTACTTTTTTTTTTTTTCTTTTAACTTTAAAACATGGACAAGCTGCATCCGTGTGCATACAATATTCTGAAATTTTTATCACAAAGTATACTTAGAAGAAAGCAGGGCGAAATCATTAATACGTTTGTCAAAGATTTTTGTGTAAATTTCTAAAGGTTTCTACAGGGCAATGCTGGTTTTTACATACGTTGTTGCTGTACAAAAACACGTGAGTTTTTTTTCTTTTTTTAAAGTAAAAATTGATCAGTTCGTGTTATAAACAGTTTATGTGAATATCTAGGATTATTGTTTTCCTTTTTGCTTAATTATAACATTTTTTTAGTGTTTTTTTTTTTTTTTTTAATAAAAATGTCTAAAATTTGTTTACAGAACATTAGTTTATATCAAGAGGAAAATTTTAAAATTATTAAAAATGAATTATTTGATAGCCTATTATAGCGTGTCCGATAGTTTATATTTTAATTTACCAATATGTTAAAAATATAGTACTTCTCTCGAGCGCATCAGAAGTAGATGCGACGGTTGAATATACATTAATGTACGATTAAAGTTCAATTTGCGAATAATTTAAGACACGTTTAGTTAAAAATTATCGGACGGGCTCTTTTAACTTGTTCATTTTGATAAGAGGCTCTAAATCAGGTCATACTAGAAAGTAGCTATTTGATGCTGGTTTTAACGCTCCACCTAAATTCACCTTAACAAGAAGCGATAAAAATAGTTTAGCTTGAAAACTTTCCGAATTTTTTACTTTGAAATTTAAGTAGTGTCATTGAGCATTAATGACCTATTTGATTATTTATAAATTATGTATGAAAATCATAAGGTTCTTGTTTCGTACTCGTTGAAAGTGTGATCTTGAAAATTATTTTGCTTACTCATTATTAATTTAAATGATCACATCATATAATTGTTATCGTAAGTTTTAAAACACTTTTAGGCTCTAGTGTTTTAGAGTTTTGGGGAGAAATGGGGGGGGCCCCCCTGCCGGCACAACCGGACCCCCTTCACCTCTCACTTCTTGCATTCTAAAAATTTGAAACTGTACGATTGTAATTGTTTACATTTTTGAAAAGTGCCTGACAATGCTTGGTTTTTATGAAAGCATCTTCGTTTTGTGCCAAGGTATCTATTAGAACGTTTTTTTTCGTCCTAACACATTTTTATCATACCTTTGTTTCAATTGGAAGGATACTTAACATAGTTTTATCATGAAAGAGCGTGTTACATTACCAATTTTTTTTCTCAAAAATTTCCCCGGTAAGAAATCTGCAAAAACTGATGTGCGCGCCTAATGTACTCGAATATAATGAAACTTTTTTTTTTGCATGATTCTACATTTGAAACTTTTCTCCCGGATCTCCATAATTAAAAGTGTATGGTAATCATCTAACAATTTTTAATAAAAAAAAAAACTTATGATGTTAATTATTCAATACTAAAATTTAGATTAATTGCCATGAGCCTCTACAAAAATGTAATGACAGAAAACGTCAGATGAGTAGGAAAAAAAAAATCGTGCAAAATTAAAGTTATATTTTGTACATGATGTCATGATTCTTGATTTAAAATCGACAAATCAATTAAGACGATACGGGTTATCTCGATACAAGTTTTCTAGTCTCGTGGCATTTCATCGTAACGGTACCGCTAAATCATATAAAAGACGGTATAGTTTTTAGAGACAGTCAGTAGTTATTTTGAAGTGTCAGGTACGTACTCATACAAAATAGATCATAACCTTGCATCATTAAAATTCTTGTGCATCTTTTTTTGTTTAAAGCTCATCCGTAGTAATCAAATTTTTTTTGATATCTGTAAACTTATTCGAAAAAAAAAAAAAACGATTACAAAGACTGATTTCATTTATTATGTTACTGAGCTATTTACTTTTTCAGACGAATACCGTGGGCTAAATAACGGAAAATGAAGTCTTTCACAAAGGCCCTTGTGGTCATGGGTTTTTTGGGCATAGTAGCGCAGAC